TTTCCTTTCCTTTCCTTTCCTTTCCTTTCCTTTCCTTTCCTTTCCTTTCCTTTCCTTTCCTTTCCCTTCCCTTCCCTTCCCTTCCCTTCCCTTCCCCATTGACAAGTAATAAATTTTTGCTAAAGAATTTTGTGAAGACAACTATGTCTATGAAGTAACAACAGGCTTGGTGCTTCTTTACAGCGTTCTGGCTGTGCAAAGAAGAAAGTTCTTGTTGCCCGAGTAAGTAACATTTCTTTTTCTTTTCCTTTTTGGCTGTTTGTAGGATTTTAGTCCTAACATAATCTGTCTTAATTATACCTAGTTTTTCCCTTATGATGTTTGTACTGGTTAATATTCTCCTACATAAGAGAAAAGTAAAATAAAATTACTTGGTAATGTGCTTTTGGGGGGCATTTCTTTAAAGAAAGTCTTATGTATGAAAGAAAAAGACATTAAAATCATGCTTTGAAGTAYAGGGAACTCAAATTTCTTTTCTTCRTTGAGCACATATAGAGTTTGACCAAGTTAAAATTAAATGGGTATCATACAAAGGACAGCTAAAATTATAGCTGAAAAATGATAGAATAATAAGTAAGGAATAATAATGTTTTCTAATTTATTGTGCTCAGCACATTGTGTAGGAGATACAGATATGTGTGTTGTATAGTTGCAAGTCAGACTCAGCAGCAGTCTACAAAAATTAGGTACAAGTAGCCTTTTAAGTTATAATAATGCATTCCTATTCAATGTATGCAATAATGGGGTCTGGAGCATAATAATAAGCAAACATAATGGAAAGAAAAGCAAAAGCAAACAATATGGAAAGAAAAAGGAAGACTGCCAGTGATAGTAGAGTTTTTGTCTCCTAATAGTAAATGTTACTGTTTTTTACAGGACACATCACATGTTTTAAGCAAAAGAGCCTATGATGTACAGGTAAACCATTCTTGTTACTTTCTCTGAACTACTGCTCTAGTAGTCAGCTTATAGCTCCTTCAGTGTTACCTACAAAAATGAAGAAGGTTCTAGTGTCCACAAAAGAGAATTAATTCTGTTTAGCGTTAGGTAGTTCTTTTCTAAAAAAAACTATGTATTTTATTTTATTACCCTTACAGATAAATGCATGTTTTTTTTCTTTCTTCCCAGAATGCATCTTCTCCTTCAAACAGCAGCCACTCTGACATGCAGGTAATAATCTAGTGTCAATTGTCGAGGAAATTTTGAAAGTTTGGTTTCAGTAATTTTTCTGTGCTGAAGGGTGTTATTTTGATTTGGCAGCATTTTCCCTATAATGCTATAATTTTGCACAGTTGTAAATAGTGATATTGGGCCCATATTAAACAGTCTCTTCTGTTCCTTCACCCCACAATGCAGGTAAGAATTGCAGGTGTTTCTTTACATAACATTTTGWAAAAGTCATTTCAAAACACAGAAATGGAGCTTCGGAATCTTTTTTTAAAAAAAATCCTGCTCTAATGATGGTAATGGCCATGTATAAACTTGTTTCATTTTGCATTTGGTAAGAAGGTACATCTTAGRGATTATGTATTTCTGTAGGTAAGTAGTAGGTCCAGTTTTCATATTCTGTATGGTTATCTATTGCTCCAGCAGTGTATATATTAAAGAATTATGAGAACTTWATCTGATCCAGAAAGACACTTTGTTCTGTTTTTCTTAATGTCTTATAGTGTATTGGTACCTATCAGCTTCCCAGGGATCTGAAATCCTGCTACGTCCAGAATTATGTAGATTTAATAGTAACATAGTTCTCTATGAAGAGAGTTTGAAGTTTAATTCAACAGTGCAGACAGATCTCTAAACTCTGGAATGTAACWATTCTCTTAATCTGTTTCCCTAATGCCCATTCCCTGTGGATTGTATCAAATCCCTTAATTAGGTTTCATCCAAATTTATGTTTTCACAATAATTCAACAGGTTATGTTCATTGGTGCAGGGACATAATAGAGTTTGTAATAGAGTTCTCACAACATAGTTTTATATTTCAGATTCTGATAAAATGCTTCAATAAAATATAATTGTTTTCTCACAGGATGGATCATTTATTGCAACCAGTGGTGGATCAAGTAATCAGGTCAGGATTTTCTTTATTTTTAACCAGTCTTGTTCATCTTCCGTGTAGTTAAACTAATTAARTTCAGGAGTCAGACTTTAACTAGTTTTACATGGAAGATTGGTGATATTACACATTAATTTGTAAATGACATGACCCTATTCAGGTTAAATTTATCAGAAATGGCTCTCTGAAATCACTTTTTAGCACTGTTTGAGCATGACATAGGTTTTACTGGGGAGCACACAATGGTGATACCTCTGACAACCCTTATACTTCTCTCTTGATGAGGCATCTGTCATTGAGGCATCACACTGAGAGATGTACTATCCTAAATAAATGCTAACTGTACACATCAAAGCTGTCCCTTAATTCTAGGTATATGAAAGGTCACACCTACTCTGTAGTCCTGCAGTCTTCCCCTAAACAGTTTCACATCTGAAATAAGATTTTCTTTTAAATTTCCACAAAGCAATAATTGTTTCCTTTTTTTTTTTTTAAATTTGTAGGGTGGTTGCATTTGTCCTGATGGAAGCAGTGGTTATAGACAGGTAATTATGTTCTAAGTTTATACTTCCATGTACATAATTGATTATTTTGAATTAATCATCTTGTAAATATGGACACTGGTTAACACTAAATATTAATGTTAATTTCCTCAGTATGGGTAGAACTACATACAATTAAATGGATGAATGAGTTCCACTTAACTGCATGATTACCATTTGGCCACTAATTTTCTGTAACTGTGCTTGGTGATCCAGATGCTCTGTCACTTGATTATTATGTGCTAAACACTCCTTACTTTCAAAACCCAGTCAATATCCTTTGTAGTAACCACAGAATTTAGTTGCATCCAGCTTGGTTTCCTTATCTTTATCACTGGTGCAATAAAATACTGTGATTACAAATTTCAAAATTTGATAATTATTTAAAATTATAATCTCCTACATCATTTAGGCTGTTCTTTCCCCTAAAGAGAATCATTGCAATTTCATTGTCAATTGCACTGGATAAACTTTTCTCTTAGGCAATGCCTCTGTACCAGGAAAAAGGCCAAGAAATGTGCTTAATGTGGGCATTATAAATGAGCTTTACCTGGCTTCTGGCTTCCCCTGGCAAAGCCAGGATTTGAGAGTCAYCTGTCTTGTAAAAGAAAACATGTTTCTGAAACTTTTAGTGAAGCTGTCTTTATGTAAACACATTTGAATGGTGTAATATTCTTTTAGTGTTTGATTTCAAAAAGAAAAATTTTGTGGATTATCCTTTCTATAGAAACCCATGCAATTAAAAAAACTACTTGTCTAAAGAAATTACTGTTTTCTGAACTTAATTAAGTTTTTGAGTTATAGCAACAGTAATTTTGTTCAGGTAAAATACCACCTCCTTTATCTAATCAAGGCTGAGCAGTAATCATATTTTCAAATATACATGTTTGAAAATATGAACTAGACTATTAAAATAAATAACATTGAAACTGTTGAGGAAAAGCTTTTTTATTTGTTGCACATTTGTATATCTATATAAAAAAATCCATTTATAAGGAAAAAGGTGGAGATCTATATGCAAGTTTGTTTTCATTCTAATACACCTTTTTCTTTGTGTGCTTTAATTGTTGCAAGAAAAAAAAAGACTTAGTTTTTAACAGAAATCTACCAAAGCTTGGCTGGGGAGAGGAGAGTATATTTAGTTGCTATATTTAGTTTCAGCATGAAGAAAATTAGACATCAAAATTGGACACATTAGAAAACCAGTTCTCAATTCAAGTGTGTCAACTTTGATATACAAGAGACTTGTTTTCAAATTAACAGTCATATCAGTTGACCAAATTAATTTATGATAAATTATGTAGCAATAGAYTTGATCTTTGTTTTCATGGACTTATCTTCACTTTCCAGAGTGAAGTCCAGAGCCCTCTACCCATGGCAGCTACAGTGCTTTGATTAGCATGTAAACAGACTGGCCATGATAGGTCACATCCTAATAATAATAAAAAAGCAAGCTATAGGTAGATGTATATGTACAAACAAACTACAATTMATAAATCTTACATAAAAGAGAGTCGTCTACTTCCCAAGGAAATGGTCACAGCRCCAAGCCTGACAGARTTCAAGAAGCAGGTGGGCAATGCTCTCAGGCAYATGGTGTGACTCTTGGGGTTGGTCCCTTGCAGGGCCAGGATTAGGACCTGATAATCCTTTTGGGTCCCTTCCAACTCAGCTTATTCTCTGATTCTGTGATTCTATGAAGATTCTTCAGGACAGGAGAAAAATTCTTGCAAAAAGCTTTCTTCTCCAAGTTTAAAAGCTGTGACTTACACCAAAGTCTCTTCAAAYCTGGAAAATATTATACATTAAGAGTCAAAGCTATACATATTTAAACCATCTTGTTACAAATGCAAATTTTTGAACACCCAAATTCTTCACACTGCAATTATTCTACTTTTTCTCSAATCTTCTTCTAAAGGCAAGATCTTAGTTTACAAATAGTCTCTGAGGAAGCTATTGGTTATTGTCTAACCATACAATAATACATTCCCTCCTTTATATATAAGGGGGAAGTGACAGTAATACTGAGTGTCATGTCCTGATAAATCGTCTTCTCCTTCAAGGAATGAGCTGATAAACATGCTCTCCCAAATACTCTTTACACTTTGGAAGTTCAGTATTCTGGCAGTTTTTAAAAAGACCATCAAGGTCATGATMATCTATAACAACATAGAGTCTGAAAGACATGACATAGGATTCTGTGTCTGTGATGTCTGTGATTAGAAAGAGTGCAATTAAGTGTTAGTATTACTTCCAGATCTTTTAACCTGAACAAGAAATGACAGAACATGCTAATGGTTTCCTTATCTCTTAAAAAAAAATACTTGCTATAATGTGTTATTTTAAAGAATAAAATTTCAGAATGGACTCATTTATATAAATTTCGGTTTGCAAAAAAATAGCTAGTCTGTGTTTTCATTTCAGGGAGCCCCAGGTTCTGCATACAGCACATATTCTGGTAACCAGGTAAACATTCAGATAAAATGCYCTGTTCAGAARCTCCATCTAAAGCCTTCCCTGAAGGAGTAGCCAGATATAAACCAGTAACCCATTCTGTCTTCTGCACAGGGAGGGCCTTTCTTCTATCCTGGAGGATC